AGGCCCTAGTGCTCTTGTCGGCCAGTGTCCACGCACGGGAGTGCCACATCTGTGATTGTCCTCTAAGGACCTATCCTACAGGCCGAACGGAATCGTTCACATAACTTCTGCCTGGGTTGTGCCTTTTATTTGATGGTACCATTAACACCAGAAATGGAGGGTTGTGAACTTTGAAATCGGTCAGATACCGCGCTGGATGTTTCTAAGAGAATCCAGCGCGGTATCTGACCGATTTAGAAGTTTCAGCGATTTCAAAGAAGTCAGGATATAAGAGCTCTTCTAGCTCTCATTCAACAACTTCTACGATTAAATCGTGTTGCGTACCTGTTCATCAAACGGAAACATTGTTATGTCCATTTTGCAACTGATCTTGAATATTCCAGGTGGAATCCAATTCACTTCTCCATTACTATAAACCACTAAGTTGCTACGGCAGGAGGAATCGAAGTTCTCGTTTGCACTGAAATCAAAGTTGTGAGAATACCCTCGCTGTCGGGGAACTCGTTAAGAACTAGTAAGACAGCAGGATAAGACAAATCAACGTTGACCGAGGAACAGATGGACAGAAGGATGGTCAAATTGACCACCGAATCGCCATGTCCCCAATAATTTTGTATACTGCCGAACAGTATCACGCTGTCCTCATGCTGCTCCAGGCGCGGTTTTTAGACTTGGCACACTGTAAGGCTAGGCAAATCAGCGTTTTGTAGTGCTGCCTGGGAAACTCTCATAGATGCACACTATTACAGTACCTCTGCTCACTTTCTATCCTTCAAAACGTCAGTCCTAATACCAAGCAAAGCGCATGCTTTTCCATCTGCACTCTCACTCTCTGGTTGACAGAAGTCTCGTAACCCTCCAGTCGCGCGTTTGGGTACGCAATCGCGCATCGTTCACAGTTGTGTCAGAGTTGGAGAATAGGACGACAGAGGAATTGAAAATTTACTTCCGCTGCTGCTCGATCTTCAAGAGTCGTAGTCAATCCAAATGACCTGACTCGTTTCGTCGATTCTTCACTTCGCCCATTTCCCAAAATTGTGTATTGTATACTTGAGGAGATCTTTTCGAACTGAAAGCTGATACAACTGATGACTCGTTTTTACCTGTTGTAAAGAAGAATGTCAGGTAACCAAATTTGCTGCTCATCTGTAGGAAAACGTAATGAAGAAATATTATCATGGAGAAGCGGTCGCCAACGTAATCGATAGTCATTCCATGTCTGAATGAATTGTATTTCCTACAAGGTGATTGCACTTCTGCCATTTCTTAGTAGTGATGTATAAGGCTAATGCCAGATCTTGCGACAATCGGTAGCGAGCCGCGCCAGTTGTTTGAGGGATACAACCGATGCGCCAGTGATTCCAGCAACAATTCAAGCGATGCGCTAAGGGTCAGTCGCTGACGGTTAGTTCCGATTGGTTCTGATCGCAATAGCATCGTTCAGCGAGGAGAGATCAGGAGTCTTAGAGACAACATGGATTCAACAGTCCGCGAATTCATTACTATCGTGACCACATTGTCGCTGGAGTGCGAAATCAAATTGAGCAAGGGTTTTCAAACCGGTGCAGCCGTTGCGGTAAACTGAACAGTGGAGCAGGGTCAACCGTCCGTTCGAACTGTTCGAACGAAGGGGTCGCATTTTGGTCGGAAGGGGGTCGCAATTTCGAGGACTGCCAGCCACAGGCGCGTGCGTGGCGTATCCGAGGGCAAGAATTGTTTGTGCAGACCGCATTAGATTCGATTAATTATGCACAGAGAGACAGTTTTAGGCAAATTACGGTGTTTTCCTTGAGGAATAAAGAACAGTTGAATGCATCCCTATGAAAGGTTTGACTTCTCGGGGCTGAAATTAAAGTTCTTCGGGACCTAATTTTCTGAGGACGATTCTTCCAGACAACGGTAAAACACATAAGAAAGCAGAAATCTCGTAGTCTTCAAAAATGTCTTCGCCCCTCCCCAACAAGTTCTTTTGAAGGAAGTTATTGCTGAAAGCTCAAAAACTCGCATGTGCTGCTCAAAAACCTATGGGAACAAAATGTTCGAACGTGTGATTTTCTCGAAAAATGAAAACGGTCAGGTGCTTTTTAGAAAGACAAAATGCTTGCGGCTTGCCCCGCATAAATGTTAACAGGGACCTAAACTTTTATACTATTGTTAAGGAAAAATTTAATATTTATTTGAAACTTTCTTACATATTTCAAAATTGGCATATTTATTTATTTATTTATTTATAGTGTGCGTCGACCGACGCGCTTCTGTAATACATCGGAACTAGCCGAGGATCAAACAGAGCATAGTTGTATAGTAACAGTGAACTTAAGCAGATCAAAAATCAAAACTACTAACGAAACGGATTCTAACAAAAAACCTAATTCTTAGAAACTTGATGGCATGCCAAAAAATATAGAGATTGAGCTAGGGTAGTGTCCAAACGCGTGGAGGAAAGGTTCTTGCTGCTTAGACGGTGGTGTAACTGCTCATCCTGTGACCCTATGTATATTTCTGAACAGCATGTGGACTAGTCTGAGGCCCTTTTTAGAAACAATTTCTATGTGTTCGCTCCACTTCAGGCTCTTTGACAGATTCACTCCGAGGTCTTTGGTATTGTCACATTTTCTAATTGGAGTTCCATCAGGGAAGCAGATTTCCAATTGAGGCGACCCTAATGTGAGAAGATGGGTTTTACTCCGATTGATATTGAGTCCCCACTGGGTACACCAATTGACCATTCTCTCTACGGCTAGATTGAGAAGGTTTTGGGCACTTTCTTTATTATTTTCGTCGTAAGCAACAGATATTTTTATATCGTCAGCATAGGCTGCGATCTGAAGTCTTGTATCTATTCTAATATAGCTAACGAGGTCGAAAGTGTAAATAAGAAAAAGAAGTGGCGAGAGGCTACCTCCCTGAGGAACTCCTGAAGTACACTCTCTTGAGGTAGACACGTAATCAGAGAAGCGGACTCTCATTTTCCACCCTGCCAAATAGGACTGGAACCACCTAAGTGCCTGTCCCGTCTGAGCAGCAGCAAGAACCTTTCCTCCACGCGTTTGGACACTACCCTAGCTCAATCTCTATATTTTTTGGCATGCCATCAAGTTTCTAAGAATTAGGTTTTTTGTTAGAATCCGTTTCGTTAGTAGTTTTGATTTTTGATCTGCTTAAGTTCACTGTTACTATACAACTATGCTCTGTTTGATCCTCGGCTAGTTCCGATGTATTACAGAAAGGCGTAATAACTGTGGCCTTCAAAGTGAAGTGCGCCTTCTAGAATTATTTTTGTCTTGGTGGGTTATATGCTGTTATTTTTTTCAAGGACCGTTAATGCACCTTTTTTTTTTTTTTTTTTTTTTTTTTTTTTTTTTTTTTTTTTTTTTTTTTTTTTTTTTTTTTTTTTTTTTTTTTTTTTTTTTTTAACCCTCCCCGTAAGGGCATCGTATAATGTATGCTATACGAAGTTATTACGAAAAAAACAAAAACACGAGATTTCTTCAAGAAAGTTCTTCCCCTCTAAAATTTTCTTCGCCGCGTCGCTTTCTGCGGCGGCGGCGCAGACGCTTCCGCAACGGATTCATGTCTAGCACTCTTATTAACAAAAACAGGGGGTCGCAACTGGACCCCCTCGAGAGCTAGGGGGTCGCAAAAATCCCGAAAATGTTCGAACGTGACGGTTGACCCTGGTTGGTAGATGCTGAGTTTTGCATTTTGCGTCTGTGAGAAAAAGCAGAGAGACCGTAAAAAAACTCGAAAGTTGGGACTCTCCTTTCTCCCGTTGGTTTCGGACGAGTTATCCGCAACGATATGTAGAAGTCCCTGAGGTAATGTTGAAAAAGTTGGCATCATGTCAAGAGCGATCAAGAGGCAGCTGCCGATTTCAATGGTTCGACTTGGAAAAAAAATTGAGCGATGGTGTTGGTTCCTTCCGAACACATTGCCGTTACCACTCCTTTCACGTACCGACAGTGGGCGTGTCTGAGACAAGAGAAGAGTTTCAGACGTATTTGACGCCTCGCTACGCTGCTATAATAATAACGCGCTCTGCGCGGTGAGCGCACATCATTCTGCATCCTCGAGAGCTCGCCTGCCTTTCAACAAGGCATATTTCCTCTTCCCCGACCTCCGACATCGCGGAATCCTTCTTTAACGCCATGCACCCGATACAGCACTTCAACACACCACATGGGGGCCCATTGTTTCGACGTGAGCTCAGGCAAAAATAGTACATCCCGTAAAAAAGTGAAAAAAACCAAAGTAGTCTTTGACGTACGTATTTCAACCACGCATTTACTTCGATCAATTGATTTTGTTCGTCAACATTGAGAAGTTGCTGCAGAAAGATTTTCATTGACACGGTGGATACCTGGAAAATATCTTATGATAGCTCTCTATTGTAGATTGCAAAGAATGAAATGACTAGTAGAAATAAGTAGTTCTGTGCGGATCTGTCCCTTTATAGTGCACCACGCACACACCCTCTTCAAAAGTGCAGAGATCCTAGTTGGTTGAGCATACATATAAAGGAATCCTTTTCGGAAAAAAATCACGATTCTATTTCTCCATAATTGGCTTGAGACTCATCGTTCACGATAAGAACGAAAAGAACAAAAAAATTGCATTTGTTTTGGTAAACAATTCGAAAAACGGAAGGACTGCTACGCGTTCAAATTACCGCCGGACATCTGTCACAAATGCTGGCGGCGGGAAGCTTTCACTTGCTGTCACTGAAACTCTTTCTGACCTTTTGACTTATTGTATCTATACATACAATACATCTCCACTGCAGGATATCCTATCGATTGTTTTGTATCTATTCTCCGAATTCGAAGGTTTTAACACGATGCTTTCAATGGAAATTCTGAGCAGCAGCCACCTTGCCCTTGAATCGGTGTTGAAGTTCAGAAACAGCGCAGTCAATTCAAAGCGGGTTCCCAAATGAAATACTTATATAAGGGATTTTTAAGCATACTTAGCTTAAACGCACTCATACAACAGAAAGCGGTTAAAGTTGAGGTTAAAATAGTTCGCATTAAGGTCAGTTAATGGAAACAAACATACGGACGGAGAACATACCTTGTTAGGATTCCTTGCCGGTCTAACTAAAGAGCTGTAGTTTTTAAGCAATGATCTGGAATAAACGGAACGCTATTGATTAAGATCAACTGTATAATAAATTGTAATGTCGAAAAAAAAAAGAGTGAGGCTTCTGGCGTTGACCAGCCTATTTATGGCTCCTGCGTCTGACTTCCATACCAATTATGTGCAGTATGTGGAGGGTAAAGAAACACGGTCGGGATTAGGCACAGCTACCGGACTCGTTCCATCCCCGCTTCTGATAACACAGTAGGCAGCCGCTTATTGCACGCACTCTTTCGGCTCGAAAAGCGCTTCTAACAAATGCGCTAGCTTCGATCCGCCAATCCACACCTTAATCGCAAGCCCACGCCTCCTCCACTGCTGGCCACTAAGGGATCGCTGCGAGAAAAGCGCAATTGCAGAAGCACTTGCATCGCTTTCCAATGTCATCAGCACTGCTGCTGGGTTAGTGAACTCGTCTAGCACGCCCTCTCCCTACCCCAAGGTGGAATGCAGCCGTATTAGGTACAACAATCATGCACTCTCTGAAAAATGAAGGGATAAATTGAGGAGAAAGTCCGAGTTTTCCCTTTTTTCTATGCATCGTTGGCCTTTGACAGTGTCCTCTGGAAACCCCACATATACTGTCGCACAACTCATATATTGGAAAATAACATTGAATGTCTGGCCGTTGAACTGAACATCAGCCCAACAGAACCATGTTCTCACGAGCTTATTTGAGCGAGGTTTACCGTTAGAAGCGCGTGAATGTATCCTACATTTCGGAGAGCGAATAGATCGCCGAGAGCAGACCACACCACAAGTGACGACCATGAAGAAAAAATGACGGCTTTTTCTTTTCTTTCTCTCGGCCGTCGTCACTTGTGTGTGTGGTCTGCATTCGATGATCTTCTCGTTTTCTGACTTAAAGGGTACCATCTACAATTGCGTATGTAGGAATTGCGATTTTGAAAGTGTTTCCGTTTCTGTTCAGGGCTATGCAAGAATAAAGGCCATCTCAGAGCCGTATTTCTAAAATGGCCGTGTGGCTCATTGCAAAACTGCGACCTACAATCCTCTCTTCCCTCCCTTCCGCCACCATCCTCCCTCCTCCTTCATGCGCGATGGATGGAAGTAATAGTGCCCGCATACCCTCGGTTCCTACCCTTAACCTCACACTCTTCCAACTTTCCCTTCGATATCTAAGTGAAATCTGAATAGCTTTCGAGAGTTCGCTAGAGTCGTAAAATTTTTTCCAATTTTTCCAAATTTTTTCTTCTTCTAATTTTTTCCAAAAACAGACAGACACGTCAACTTTCACAATTCTGCAAGATAAGAGCGTGATTTGTCCGGACGGGTTGGCTCTGTTTCAGCGAGTTGTTTTTCGCCGGATTCGATCTATCGAGCCTAAACTGCCAAAAGGGGGGTTATAGTCGTAGAGGCCGTACAGGTCCAATCCGGGAATAATTTCCTCCCACATGTCTGCCGACCCTCTTGGAAGGTATACTCCACAATGAGGTCGAAGTCATATAAAGAAGTGGTGTCTTTTACGCTAGCTGAACACACTGACGCCCTAAGGACCGACACGCAATTCACTGCGAAAGATGTGCTCTCGGCGATCTAGCGTGGCCATCTCCTTTGCGCTAACAGCGCGGCACGGCCACCGACTGGCTAACGACTCGTACAGGTCCCTAGCCTTTTGTAGAGAGAGCGTTGAAGGTTGCAGAACTGATATGAGTTGCATTAATGCGCAAAGCAATGAGCAAAGGAGTAACCCCATTTCTCGGGTTCTGGGCCCTTACAGTTTTTCTTAGTCTCGTACTACTAACCACCTCTGCCTTGATTCTACAATGGGCTACTTTTTAATCGTAAATTCCATATTTAAATGGAAAACTTCTATGTTCGCCCTGAAATAGGCTTAAAAAGCAGTATATTAAGAAAATCACCTGTATAACTCAGCTTCAACTTTACTCGCCTTCAGCATCTAAACTCACACTAGCACCTATGCTGAAAGGAATCGAACATAATCGATGGAACTAATAGCAGTCGCCAAGATATTCCTCCACCATGTGTCGCCGATCGGACCCTCTTCAGTGAGTACAAGAGGACAGAAGCGAATCAACAAACAGACAGAGCTGTTCACACACACTGACTGATTATCGCTGAATAAGCTGCCCAATGACGGGTGTTACCCTAGTTCTTCAGCAGATTAGCGAAATTTTGCAGATCTGATTCAAAAATTGGAAAAAATTAATGGGAATGACTGGGGGTTGCAGTGCGTTGGAATGAGCAGTGCTGATTTTGCATAGATTTGCAAAATCGATTCCAAAAGAGCCTAGGGCTGGGGAAAAATGAGTGGTGGCGTGTATTGGTGAGCCAGATCAAACCTCACCCCCCAGCGCGAATCTTTGGCCGACATGTAGAAGATACACGTGTGGACTTACCCTCGCCTCCAAATTACCAGAAATTGTGCAATTGCAGAAATTGAGCGTGGCATTAACGAGCATCGATTCAAGAACATCTTTGAGCACACGTGATGTCACTTTTCTTTTCATCGAGAATTTAGCCACGTGTGCCACGTGGGTTTCTGGCTGCATGAGACAGACGTATAACCTGACTATGTGTTGTCCATGGAAAATGTCTGATGGCACACTCCATAATAAGCTGTGTAGCTACAGGGCCTCAAGCCACATGTGTGAATGTAGGGGGTTTGAAGTCTACTGACAGTAAGGAAAAGACAGGGAAGAGATGCGGGTAAAGATTCAACAGACTCGGAACGAGGGTACCCGACAGAAGGCCCGTCGCGCAGCAAGAAGGCACAGGCATCGGACGAGTCGTGGCGTGTACTGTAATGATTCCGCGTCAAATAAAATAAAATGTAACATTGTACCCTCCTAAATCGCACAAAACGCGCTGTTACTCGTTTGCTGACTCTGCCTTCTTGCCGCCTCACGGGCTTCCTGTCGGGTAACCCGGAGAGAGGAAGGTGGTCACTGAAGGTACAGATACACGGGCGAGAGCAACTATGATCACAGGCGTTTGTGCGCTGTAATGTCTGGACCCTACCGTACCTACTGCGCGCTTTATACAGTGTGTTTCAGTGTTGTGTCACCCCAAATTTTGCATTTCTGGAATAAGCAGCAGATTGGGGTTTTTATAATATCACCGGTTCCTCACTATAAATAATTCCTTATCGCAATCTTGCGAATGCAGCTCATCCACTAACTTTTTGAAATAATTTTTGGTTTTGCACCAATTCATAATTATAAGATCACCCTGTGGAAACCAACTACTAACTTACATTGTAGTGCGTAGTCTGTGTATGTTGTGTATCCGTACGTCTGATCGTCTTATGTATGCATGTATGTCCGAGCTAAATGTGTGTGTCTGTCTCTCTCTGCCTGGCCGAAAATTCAAAATTTCACTCCGTTCGGTCTCGAAGCACTCAAACTTCTAGGGTACACGGTAATACTAAATCAAATTCTTTGTTATTCAATGGACAATTACAAACATTCCGCCTTGTCATTTCATATTTTCCACATTTTAATTAATTTCCATGAGCACCTTCGTTGTCATACATTTACTTTTATTCGCATTGCTCTTCTGAAATCGCACAGAATGGTCATGTCATTTCAACATTTACTCGTCTATTCCCTACCCTGGGTATTTTTTTGCAAATACTCAATGATGAGCCTGAATAATAAAAATCACCTCAACAACCATCATAAATAATAAGGTTTATCATTCTTAACAAAGGCTGCCTGATGATGGAGGGCGAAGTAATCAGAAGAAATAATCGTCAGGAGTCACTGATTTCAAACTTACTGTAGTATTGCGATTAACAAAGTGAAGCTAGCCAAATCATAAACACTAAATGACTGATAAGAGTTTGTACATAATAAAGGCCGCCATGTTTAGCACTATTAATATTATTGAGATAGGATATGAAGAAGAGGTTAACCAGTTAATAGAGACGTCAAATTGTGAATAACCATTAAATACTACTTCAAAAAAGCCGAACCTTGGCTTTTCAAAAGTATATATATAAGGGATCGGAACCAGCGAACACGGATATTGGGTGATCAAATGCAATAGATACCCAACACAGATAACTTTGGATAAGGAAACGAGAAAATTCGGAGATAAAGTGACAGTAAAACCTAACTTCTAACACATAAAGCAACTGGCGGTCGGACAGGGATACACGATGAATAGCCGGTACTGAATGATGTAATACTATATAATTACTGTAGAGAGTTGATGTAGGTTGTGAGTCGGCGTTGAGAGAGCGAACTACTGTCTTTCAATACACAGACCATAAAAAAAGTGCGACCTCCCCAAAATAAACCCTGGTGTCTATAAAATAATACCCAGTGATAGCTAGAACTTTTGGTAAAGATAGCTAATGATCAGCTGATAAAATATAACATCCAAAAAGCTCATAATGCTTGGTGAAATCAATTTACATTCCCTGAAGGCATCGTCCAATTGTGGTGTATGTCTTCACCCGACGAAAAGTTATTTGAAGAGTTCTGATGAAAAGACAATGTGCAGCTGACTAATATCTACAATCAAGATATAACCATTAGGAAGCAGAATATAGCCGAATCAAAGGACCGAATAAATCAGAGCTAAAAATATAATAACTCGACGCCTACAACCGATACGTAATTGTAGAAACTACGCAAAACAAACGTTTATAACACCAGTCATGACAGGATAGAATTCTACAAAAATCATGACAGGAACCTAAATACAAGCTAAGCGATAATCCAGCGCAAATTGGACGAACATTTAAGGAAACCCACCAAGGACGTTGCCGTACACAAAAGACATCTTTTCTGTTATGGAAAGGAGAATTCAAGGTTTTATAGGGCTGCTACACCCTTCTTTGGAGATTGCCCTGTTCCTTCGAGCATCGAAATATGATAGAAAGTGTAGAATTTAGCAGGCCTCACATAATTCTCTTCCGTCTTTCCTTTTCAGTTCCTATTTTATAAGTTCCAATATATTCAAAGAAAAAATGGTCCCTTTGGTCCACTTTTTGATGCACGTGCGTTTTCAATGAACTGTTGTAACTTTCGTCCTTCTCAAATTCTTGCAATTTTTCAACACACATTTCTGAATTAATCTCGCCAGAATAACCTCGTTGGGCCGTTCTGAAGATCTCGTTGTTCTTCCTCACTCCTGTCACTCACCTCCATTAAACGACAACATTTATCCCTCCGCATAGGACCTCTTCCCAGCTCATCGACCTGAATGCGCCTCCATTTCGCTGCCTTAAAGGAGGATTGCACGGAAAGAACGAAGGTCGAAGAAGGGAGAAATCGCCTAGTGGGGAGAGCGGTGAATCTCTTGAGGGTGCGGACAGACACGCAATCGGCATCGAAAGATTTGACCTCTGAGATCTAGCATGGCTCAAAGTTGGCGAGTTCGGCGATCTCCGATCGTCTGATCACTCGCCGTAGTACAATAGGTGGCGAGTGATTAGATAGCTGAGAGAGCGTAGGGTTGAAGAGGGCAAAGCGATGAGAGTCCATCAATGCTCAATCAACGGACAAGGAAGGGGTCCCATTTCTCCGGGTTCTGGGCCGTTTTTCGTGGTTTCGCTTTCTTTCTGGTACTACTCACCATCTCTACCTCAATTTGGAATGGGTTGCTTTTCCATCGTAAATTCGTCCTTTAAACCACGGAGGGGGGGCGGTTGGCTCCGCCATGAACAACGACACGCGTTAGGACGTGACTCCCCCACCCTCTAATAGACCCAGGTGAAATTTCCTTTCCACCCTGGTGACTTCGCTCATGGTTTCAGCGTGAATTATCTTTTCACCTGCGCCCTAACTATCAAGGCTATGATGAGAACTGCCGATCGATATCGAAGCTGAAGCACTTGTTCGGGAATTTTGACACAATCCTCACCTCGAGGAACCGTTTTTGGAGAAATCATGATTTTATTTCACCCATAAATAAATGACTTCCCACCCACCACTCGCATGATAACGGAAAAAATCCTATTTTTATGGTAGTTCGAGAAACCCGCAAGACTGTTACTCAAATTCCCGCCGTAAAACTGTCACAAACCTTGGCGACGGTAAAATGCCTCAGTGTCTAAACAAGAAACTCTTTTGGCTTTTCCACCTATTGGTAATCTCTCCTTTCAACTGCATCCTTATCTATCGATCATTTTGTCTCTGGTCTCCAAATTCGCACGCTTTGACCCGACTCTTTACCTTATTCCTGCACAACCTACCCTCGACCGTCCATATGTGCTCTTCGTAAACTTCTTTCTCTTTGAGAAGTGAATTTTCTCGCGTGTAGTTTTGTACTTCGCCTCCAGTAATCACAAGGGGCTGGGTATCCATGCGGGGAAAGAATGCAAGAATTTTCCGCCATTTAACTGTTCGTGTTTGTCTCCAAGCTAGTACTCAGCAAGAATTCGCTATCTGTTATGCCCATAGTAATGAAGTGTAACATGTATTGCCCGTAGAGCAATCCCAGTGGTCCACTTTGTTCAGCACCCATAGGTACATTAGGTATTGTAACGATTAATCAACACAGACAAAAATTTAATTATGTGCTAGCAAGACATTCACATCTGGAAATGCTCAAGCACTGACGCTCGTATTCTGACCCGTAACGGAGATTCGCAGATCCGAGGTCCTAAATATGAATTTCATGAGGCCGAAAAAATTTGTACAGAATATAATATTATAAATTATCTTGCTCATGAATGACTTAAATCGACACAACTGAATTTGGGGACACTCAGCATAATGGCTTCCTGGGCGGTGGTGCATTTAGGGAGGGGGGAGGAGCATCTTGGTGCAGTAGTCAATTCCAGCAACAGCGAGTTTTTTGCAGTGGATGTATTCTGCATTCAGTCTGTGTGAACCATTTGGGTTGTGAAATAGGGACCCAGCATAAATTCAAATGGAATATTTATCGCGAATGTGAAAGCCTAAAGTGTTGTGCGCCATGATGCCCACACCCCCCCCCTCCACATTTTCAAACACTAGCACCTGTCACTTCTCATTGTCTTGTTCACAGTCGGCGATTCAAGAGCGCAAATGAGCAGCGTGATCGCCACTATCAGCAATGCGCCATGAATCTAACTTCTGCTTAAAGTTTTGGAAGCGCTTGATGTACACTGATCCCACGTAATGCTATTTATGAGCAGGAATTCACGTATGCTATTTAGGAGCAGGTAAGGAGCGCTTCTGCGTTTTAAGGTGATTATCTTCGTGGCCTATAGCTTGACAAGAAAAACAGGTTTACGTGCTGAAGCAAATTCGATCCTACAGGCCCTAAAAGCGCTATGAGACATAAAGTTCTAAACAATTCCTTATTTTCATTGAGGCTTGAAGGCAAGATCCAGGATTAACTGTCGAGGTAATTCTATTCATCTTCAAATCCTGGATCTAGGTAAGGGCTAAAAGTGGACCGCCAGTGGAGAAAAAAGGAAAAAATTCGTGAAATACACAGGAAATACGAGCCTTTTGCTCTACGCTGCGGAGAAGTTCAAAAGGCCGGCAGGGAGATGAGAGATAATGTGAGCGCGGAGAGCGGTAGGATTGCGACGCAGACAAGATATCGAGCGGTGGGCGGAGCGTGACTGTTGGTGGAGTCTGTCAAAGTTCTTAGCGCCTAGCGTCTAAGTAACGCTTTTCGAAGTAGGGAAGTGACGCGACCTCTGCACTTGCGTACCTAGCGCTTCTAGCCACAGTAAAGGCTCATTAAGTGGGTCTGAGCCCGAACTTTGCCTTTAAGTGAGTCAATGTATGGGAGTATTATGTCCATAAAATGCGCTCCTGTAGATGAATCCGAGCAGGGGAAGCTAGGGGAGCGTGGTCTTGATCACATTCACTCAATGCTTTTTAAGTAGTTCCTACTATGAACTTGCTCAGAATCTCTTCGATGATCGCCATTAGCCGACTTCACTGGTTTTGGAGATGTTTCTTCGTGATTTACATGAGGTTCCCCCATAGAAATCTTTGGGAGGGAACAGGAAAAGTCAGCCTCACAACTACTCCGGAGCCGTTATGCTGAGTTCGTTTTTACGTACAGAGAATTCGACAAAAATTAATTAGTCATCTTTGGTCAATCCTTTCTGAGGTGCGCCACGCATTCTACTTGATTTAGAGTAGTGGTTGCATTTGGCCTACAAAATCACTTTGTATAGAAGTCATATGGACAAATTACGGTTTTGTCCCCCTAGACGAGTCTGCTACCTACTAATTGGTTCTGAAGAAAGGAAGGTTTGATTGAGGGTCTAGACGGTGTAATGTCTAGGATTTGATTCTCGGTACCGTGCACCTGGTCAGCGGCACAATTTGTCACTACACTACATGTGCCACAAACAAATAAACAAACAGATTTGCTAAAAAATATTCTATGCAAAGTAACCGTTTGTCGTGAGACATTGTTCACATTGGATTCAGATAAGTAGGCGCAGACAAATAGGCGATTGGGCGATCGAGCGATTACGCGAATAAGACTGTACCAGTTGACGCCACACGGTACTGCGCGCACGAGCCAGTTTCGCGGCGACGTGGAAATGTGCGGCAATAATTCCGAGTCCGCCCTAGGCTTGAGTCTATCCGCTTTCTTCCCGGTCTCCTGCATATCTCTGAACTATATTTTACTATATTCAGCTCCGCTGGGCAAGCTGCACGCTCCGCCCACCGACGGGATTGACCCTTACTTCCTCCGTCGACCACAGCCCGCTTTTTCGGCCTCATTGGACTGTATCTGAAACGATTCGTCGCGACCTCCGCCCATATCGGCGCCCCACTCACCAACAGCACCTCTTCTCTTCCTCGCCAGACTCCACCCACTTTTCTTTCCGGTCTACGGGACTTACTACAGATTTATAAGTTAGACAACAAGACCCGCCCACAATTGCTTGACCTCGTTTCCTCCGCGGACCTCTACCCTTTTTTTCGGTCTCTCGGCTGTCCCTGAACCGAATTATGAAGTTTTGTGGTAAGCTCTGCCCACTTTTGTACACGCACATCCACTATTTACAATTAGCTTTACCTCCTTCTCTGACTTCCATCCACCCTATTCCCGCTCTCTATGATTTTTCGGAACCGAACATGAAGGCTTGTAGGAA